CCGGCCCTTGCCGGTCGTCCGGCAACAACTCATGAACAATCTGACTTCAAATGGCATAACATGAACATAAGAACTGATTTAAACTGAAAACATGAATTTTGATCAATAGACTGTGTAATATCCCGATATTTAATCGGTATAAATTATGTTTAATTACGATATAATAATGTTATAGTTTATTATTTTCAGAATTAATTAAGTTCAGTCGGAATTACCGAAATTGATTTTCGACGTACCGTTTACATTCGGAATAAATTTTGGTAATTAAGTACTATGTTTAATTAATAAATTAAACATCAAAGTTAGGGTTAAGTAGAAATTTACCCTAAATAAGTTGCTTAAGCCGTGAGTTTAATAACTCACGCCCTAATTTTTCCTAAGTCCGAAAGTTTCCTTAGGTTAAGGGAAAGATTGACCAATCAACATTAGCAATTTGTCAAGCTAAGAAGCTACTTAGTCATCAAGAGAATGAAGGAGAATTAAGCAAGTGTGAAGAGGGGAGGAAGCCACGACATGGCTACCTCATCAACCCCCCACGGCCGTACATCTATATAAGAGTTCACTTGGGAAAATTTTCGTCACTTTTCCTTAGAAGCCATCAGCCTATATTCAGTATATATATCATCCCCTTCAGGAACCAAAGTGATAGAAATTTCCCTCAAAAATCCTTCACAACCGCACGGCAAAGTTAGACGAGAAGCAAGGCGCACGAGAGGCGTAGAAGTCACGTGTATTCTCCATTTTCCGTCGAGCAATCAGCAAGGTAAAATTCTCCTTAGTTCATGATCATATTAATTAGGATATTTAAAGGTTAAATGTTCGGATTAATTCACGGAATTTCAGATTAAAGCATGCCTAAGTCCGAACATACCTAAGTATAGTTATCACCGAACGAGTTTCATTTTCTTCCGACAACTCTCGAACTATAATCCATTAAATGATCAGTTTAGTTTGTTTCAAGTTCAGCATGATCAGTTTTTGGAGTTAATATGCAGTAAAGTCGATGAAATGGCTCCCCAGCCGACGCCCGCGCCTATCGCGCGTGGCCTCGGGTGTTTATGGGCCGAAAGTTGTTGCCTTATGTACGATCATGTTTGTCAGTGTGATTGAGCCTTAAATTGTTTTAGAATAATAATCATGCTGAGTTGTTCGGTGGCTGTCGGATAATATGTTAGTTCGGCCGAGAGACGGCGTGTAGCCGTCGGCGGCGCTCGGGCGTTCGCCGCGGCCCTTGCACTTCAATATGCGTTCGGTGTATTTTCAGGTCTTGTTTGACAAGTTTATTCATGTTAAAGTTCAGTTAAGTAAAGTGGCCGAGTCACTTGCCTTTTGGTCGGGAGATGGCCAACGGCCGTAGGCCTCGCATATAGCGAGTGCACCACGGCCGAGGGTTCGGTTCATCAAGTCAGCTCAGCCATGTTTGTTTAAGTTCAGATTTTTGATCATATTAAGTCAGAATATGTTAATAGGAGTCAGTTTGGTCGATTG